TAACCAGTTGCTCACAGATTGCTGCCTTGATCAACTTTGCTAATTCGATGCCTCTCAAGGGTCCACGCTTGCGACCTCCCGGATAAGTTTGATTCATTAGTAGAAGAGTTTAAGGACTTTGTAGGATAGCACTTTTATATAAACTCAATGAATGAATTCATGCTGAGACTGTGCCAGCCTAAAGTGGAAATCATGCAAAACGGCCATCTTGTGTCTCGGTGCAGCGACTACATCATTTACAGCGTTGAGGCCAAGAATATCGATGCGGTCGTGAAGGCCTTTGGTCCTTGTATGCCGATGCTCCTGCTGCTGCTGACATTATCCAAAACTGACCTGTCTTGCGTATAGCTACCAAGGTTGGCGCCATAGTTGGCGGGCAAACCTCATGCAAGACCCCAGAAATGGATGCTTTTAACAAGCACCTTCCCAAGGATGTCAGCATCGTCTCCGTGCACTCCCTACATGGGCCTGGTATAGATCCGAAAGGCCAACCGTTGGTGTTGATCAAGTACCGCGCCTCGGATGATGAATTTGCTTTTGTGGAGAATATCATGTCCTGCCTTGGCTCCAAGCACGTCTACCTTAGTGCTGAGCAACACGATCGCATCACAGCGGATACGCAAGCAGTAACACACGCCGCTTTTTTGAGTATGGGTGGCGCATGGTATGCCAACAACCAGTACCCGTGGGACAGCTCCCGTTACGTTGGTGGTATCGAAAATGTCAAGATGAACATCACTCTCCGCATCTATTCCAACAAATGGCACGTCTATGCTGGACTGGCAATTCTCAATCCAGATGCCAAGAGGCAGATCAAGCAGTATGCTGAATCAGTCACTGAACTGTTCAAGCTTATGCTCGCTGGGCAGCGGGATGAACTACGCGAACGTGTGCATGCTGCGCGTAAAGCTGTATTTGGCGACAATGCAAGTGGCAAGAAGCTATTGCTCCGAGATGACCTGCTTGACAAGTTTGCCCTAGGCACAATTCCAGAGAAGAAGCTGAAAAATAACCACCTAAGCTTGCTCGCCATGGTAGACTGTTGGTGGAAGCTGGGCATAGTGCCCTATGACCACATGATTTGCTCCACGCCGGTAAGAACCAACCATTTTTTTGAAACTCGACAAAACATACATGAACTTTCCTTGGTTCACTGACCACTGCATTTTTAGCCCTCGCGCATGTGGCTCGGAATCACCGAGTATCTCTTCTGCAACCCTGCTCTACTCGAAGAAGCCATTGACACGGCCGTTGATGACAACACGTTCCGCGCCGATGACCTCGAATTTACTTTCGCAGCCAGAGATTGGAGCTCGCGTGTTATCCTAGGCAACTTTGATGGCTACAGGGATAAGTTTGAACAGATTCAAAAATACTTTGAGCCCAGGTTTCCCGAGGCAACTAAGCTCGGCAATGAGATGATTAGGGTTATCCTGCAGAAGACTCAAGATAGTTGAGCATGGTGGGGATGCGTATGTTAGGTATTCTGCAACTCACTTTGATGAATAATAGTGTCTTCGGAATGATATATGTTATTTCTTTCGTTACTGTAGTCATTCTGCTTTCACCCTTGTGCTCTTCGCCCCAAGTACCCCGCCAAGTCGCTCACGATAACAAAGTAGTTAGTAGATATAGTAGTGTAAAGACAATGACATATGGCTAAAGGCGTGACTTCTCTTAGTACTAGCATGAAGATATAGATACACTGGTTCTAAGCACTCCTTCCCGCCATCTCCCACGCCTTCTTGAAAGTTAGCTTTTCAATTACATCGCTGAACTCCTCACTTAAGAGAGGCCCCTCCTGATAGCAGAAATGTCCTTTCTCCATCCACTGAGCATACCCTGTAAGCCACCCCATCACAAACCGTTTCGCTTCTTCCCCACCCCCAAACGACTCGTAAAGAACCTCTATTCCCGGCATTTCACTCACTTCCCCCCTGCTTGTCTTTTCTGAACTATCATACACGACTTCAAATTTTACTCCCATGTGTTTCTCTGCCAATGCAACAACCTCGTTCCAAGTTCGATTATCCTCTGAAATGAAGTACCGTTTCTGCCATGTCCCTGGAGGTTTAGCCAGAAGATGCGACAGGTACTTGCCGGTTGAGGAAGTATGTGTAAACGATACTGGAACATTCCCAGAACCTGGTATCGCAGCGTATTTAGCGGATAGGGATACGACGATTGGTAGAACTGTCACGTGTGTGGGGAGCGGAACGTAATAGTCCATGAAAACGCCTGGGTGGATCACTGCAAACTCTAGTGATGTCTGGCCAAGTGCTTCAGTTATTCTCTTGTAACCGGCTACGTGTAAGGCTAAAACAGGGTTTTCAGCGTGTCTGATTACCGACGTAATTAGCTACTATGACGCGTATAAGAACTAGAGTTAAAGATATTGAACTTACTCGTCAGTAAAGGGCAAGCCGCTGAATAAGCTAGGTATGAGTCTCTTGGTTGTACTCGAACGCTCAGCGGCTTCAATAAGATTCAGCTCTTCTTGGGAACCCAAAGGACCATTGAAGATTGAGATCACTGCTGAAACTCTATTCTGTTCAAGTAAAGTCTTGAGCTGGTCGGCATCGGAGTAATTGTTCGCATTGAGAACGCGAATCTTGTTGTCCTCTTCGAATTTTGGATTCGCCTGTATAATGGAATCTAGGTGAGTATAGAATGGGGCTGGAGATTAGAAGGAAGAGGAAACAAACATACCTTTCGGCTCAGAACAAGGACTTCGTACCTTCCATCTGACCTCAGGGCGTCGATAATAGCATGGCCGAGACCGCCGGTTCCGCCGGCAACTGCAACTACGGTAGACATGCCGATCAATTCACTAACAAGGAGTTCGACGGTATAGAATGATGGGTATAGAACACAAAGAACGCCCGATGAAATGTGGTTGAGATTGAGAGATATGCCTATTTCCGATTTATCAGCACTGATGTGCTCTTATACTCCGTAGGTGTGGCATTGGTCCGTCAAAGTTCGACCGGCCATAAATCTAGCTCTTTCCCTATTTACTTGGCGTCAACACCAGGTTGCTTGAAATATCCTATCAACGGTGCCAGGCTTTCAGTCGACCGATGAAGTCGGAGATAAAGTCGCCCAGCGCCGAAAATATAAAGCGCGCTTGAAGCCTTTACTGCTGCTGCAACACTACTAGTGGTATTTTATTTTATATGCACGTCGGAATGGAACATGTAGAGGTAGCTTGTTGATCTTATCTAGGTAAAATTCAAAATAATATTGTGATGGTGTTGATATCTCGTAGTAAAGGTGGCTCGGGTTCACCAATCTACTGACAGCCCGGATCTCTCAATAGTCAAAATAGGGTTGAATGGGAACAAGGTGTCTAATCAGACGTGCAAATACACCATATGTACGTGCAGAACACGCCTTTCGTGTATCCGCTACTTAGTCTGGATCACAACTATCTATGCTTTCACAGTTCCAAACTATTACTCTTTCCAGCGTAATCTTCTTTGTTATTTCCAAATGACATAAATCTGTGATAAAACACTGATACGGGCCTCTATCAGTCTACCCGGCGGTATATCAATATCAAACCTTGAGAGTGACCTTGTAGGAATAGTCTTAGTTACTCTCTTAGCAAAGAAGCACCCAGGGCACATATATATCCTCTCAAACTGGAATCATAATGTGTCCACTAGAGAAGACGAATTAGGTGCGCGTGTGAGAAAATTTCAATGCCTGAGTCTTGCTCTGTATAGTTAAGGAGTACGTTGGATAGATGTAATGGCGTGCTTGAAAAAAAGGACATTGAACTCGAACGAGAAGGCCACAAGGGTAGATGATGAACGATACGGGTTTGCGTTAAAGGAGCGACGTAGCTCGGCATACAAAGGAACCTGAGGATTTTGGTGACCGAGAGGATACATATGTGCTCTGATTTTCGGCCAGATTTCGCGCGATTGTTAGTGCTCAGCAACACTACCCCCCTGCTTCACACATGCTAATGTAACCTCACTTCTTCCGCACACGAATGCATCAAGCGACTTCCCGAAAACAAAGCGCTCTTCGCTTCCTGCTATGTATAGAATGGTCGCAAGAGATCAGCAAGGTTTCGGCCCCATCCCACTCCCACCAAAAATACGACGAGTCGCGTGGATGTACTGGGGCACATGGCGCAAAGTTTGTGCTGTGGAGACGCTAAAATGATCATCATGCTCTTGTTCAGGTGACTCTCTCCCTACCTAACTTATTGCAGAGAAAAACTAAAGTTTTCTTTATAACTATGATATCAACGATACAACATATAGTATAGGTGTCATTCCTTAAATTAGGGATATTACACGCTACCTCGGCCTGTGTGACCCCTTTACCAGTGACCCATATAATTAATTCTGCAATAGTTATATCACAATGGAATTTCATGATTTTAGCGGCAGTTCATTCAGCGAGTTAGAGCAGTGAGTGCGCAAATATGACAGTCCCTTTTTCTAAAATCTAAATTTAGAGATCTCTCTTGCCACAAATGGGCATTTTACATGTTGCAAGTATAATGACTCAAGTTGCATATGGAACTAAGATCTGCACAGTGAGTTTGGCTGTGTCCCGTATCTGCACTAAACTCGTACCTGCTCTGGCAACTGCCGCTTATTGTGTTCAACATCCTGGAGTACACCTTTCCCAAACGCCAATCAGACGATATGCCAAGCGAGATTGAGCGTTCGACAACACGAGAAAGGATTGAGAAGCTTTGATCATGCAGACTATTAGAGCCTTGGTGGAACAATCCAGTCAATGATGCTTCGCGAAAAAGAAAACTGGACGAGATACGAGATTAGAATATGAAAAACACATAAAGAGGTTGAGCATCGCCGTCCATGTATAGCATCCATCTCGCGGCGTTATTTGTCTTACATTCGTTCCTTGTTTCTCATCTTGAAGTAGCTGCTTAATCGATCGGTCTTATCCATTTATCACTTGAGCTACTCTAAATAATTTTCGGGTTCACGACAGATTACTGCAACCCGATAAGCATGCATCTGTGTAACATCTTACTCATTGCGGGCTTCACTGCAGCGCGCGTGCTTCCGCGTCAAGAGGCGACTAAATGTACGAATCCCGTTAAGCGTGTCGAGTTCCGTACCCTAGACAACGTCGCCCGCAAGCAGTATACGGATGCCGTCAAATGCCTGACCACCAAGCCCTCAATGCTCGGCCTGAGCACAACCTTATACGATGACTTTGTCTACGTGCACACTCAACTCAACACAGAGAGTATGTAATTGAATTGGAGATGACCCAACAAGTATCCGGATAGCTTCCCAGCTAAACCTTTTCTACAGTTCACTATGTCGCCCAGTTCCTGCCCTGGCACAGATACTTCGTGAATCTTTACGAGAAGCAACTTAATGGCTGTGGTTACACAGGCCCCATGGTGTAAGTTTTGGTGAGATCCATACGTGATGTGAACAAAAGGGAATTTGCCTGACACAAACGACAGGTACTGGGATTGGACCCTCGATGTCGCAGATGTAGCTGGGTCTGATATATGGGATGCCGAACACGGATTTGGCCGCAATGGCGGTAACAAGACTGAAAAAACAGCCGATGCTCATAATAGGGAATGGAAATGCCTGACCGACGGGCCCTTCAAGGACATACGCTCGGCCTATGTCCTGACAGAATATGCACCGCACTGCTTATCGCGCGACTTCTTCGACGGCACCTCTCGACCCGGAACTATGCGTAGCTCGGCCTACACACCCGAGGCTATCGCCACCATTAACGCTCTAGATACCTTCGTTGAATTTGAGTTCGAACTCGAGAACCGGCCACATGGCTCCATCCATAGCGCAGTTGGTGGCAAAATGGGCGACATGGGTCCCTCTTCGTCACCCAATGAGCCATTGTTCTTTTTGCACCATGCCCAAGTCGATCGCCTGTGGTGGTTATGGCAGCAGGGTAACCCGTCAGTCCGCAACACCGAATATGCTGGCAAACGCGAAATCACTCCAGGCGCTGGTGGCCGCCCCCTCCCCCCTGGTGAGGTGGCTCCTGTGGATCCTCCCGCTGCTCTCACCGACGTTATGCCCTTTATGAAACTGGCAGACGATCTGCCTGTCTCCGCTATTATGACCACAGAGAACGACCTGTTATGCTATACCTACTAAAGAGGATAGATAGTATAAGTTTTTCCTTTCTAGAATGCTTCTTTCTCTACTTCTAATGCTATCCGACATAAAGTAATAGATTAAATCTTGTATTTTACGCATTAAAGATATGAAGAAAAGTCTATATAATCTCTTTAGTATCTTTTAATTTGGAACTAAATACCTCTATTCACTTCTTACTACAATGATAATGATAACTATTAGTGATAATCAATAGTAAATCTATACTCAAAAGGGTCTATCATCTACCCTACTAAACTATGATCACTATGTTAATCGTGACAATCATAGTGGCCGCTCATGGTGCTTACGACCGGTAGAGTATTTATAGTGAATATGGCCACGAATATATGGCGGGTCGATCTTGCGGCACTGAGTAGAGTTGCAATATGGTCATGCGTAGTGATAGCGTCCATTGTTCATGTGAATACCTTGGTAGAGTCCCGATGCTTAGAATAAAGTCAAACCAGGACCGCATTGCTTAAGTTGCACCATGTTGGAGCCAAAACACACGGAACGACGTCGGCTTTGGCCGACACGCAAGCGGCACCTCAGTAATGGTAGCGGCCCGCCTTGTAGTATGGGCTAAGTTTGGGAATACGTGGGGATAAGCTTGATGATCAACTATCTACCTCTGATCATTGAACAGGTATCACAAATGGTGAACCACGTCCAACCAAGCTTGGAATATCAACCTCCTCAACCAAAGAAAATGTTCGACGAGGGCAAGCATTGAGTTGTTTAATCTTCAGTCTCTCACTAACTTACACTAAAGCCTTCCTAAACTGAACAGCAGTTCTTGTGCGAAGCATGCGCGAACCCCTTAAGAAGCAGATGTAAACTTTGCCCTTAACCCCTTGGTTGCATGATCACCCATGGCAGCCAAGTTTGCAAACGAAACGATCTCCAATACGCTGATGTCCAGGCCCAAAGTTGCCTTCCACCAGCTGCGCAGCTCGACGGCTGCCAGGCTGTCCAATCCAATGTCGACAAACGAGTGGGCGAGATCGATCTCGTCATCATCCTGAATGGGCTTCAGAAGAAGATCAAAGACCCAAGCTGCAATCTCCCTCGCGATGAATTTGCTCGTGTTGGGGTCATCTAACTTGTCAACGTTGGCCGGCAGCGTGGCGATGAAGCCCCTCAGAGCATCTCCAACGGTGCCAGCACCACTAGCATCGACGCCATGGGCTGCGGAATCCCGGTTGGAGTAGGTCGCCAGCCGACGATCCAAAAAGGTAGCCTTGCCACGGAACGCTTCGTTCAAAGCCGGCGTCATGCGGAACTCAGTGATGAGCTGCGATGGCTCAACAAACACTGGGCTGGGGTCTTTATTTGCATCTTTCGCGGCGTCGGATCCAAGGATGGCTAGTGTGACGGCCTGGAACAGCTCCTGCTGCGACATGACTGCACTCTCGAGCCACTTCGATCGTTCTAGAGTCTTTGTGTTTTCCGCAGTCCAGCCAATTCCCTCGACGGCCCCCACATCAATAGCTGACGCAGGCAGGCTTTGGCTGTGTCGATACTGCACGAAAGCATCCATAAAAGTATTTCCCGCCGAGTAGTTGGCTTGTCACGGCATCCCAATGATACCGCACATGGAGCTGAATAGTAAAAAGAAATCCAGATCTACTTGTCGAGACGCAGTATGCAGATTCTACGTGCCCTGAACCTTGGGTTGCGTCACGGCCTTCCAGCCAGCCAGAGACATAGTTAGCAGCGACCCGTCCTGCAACACAATGGATAGGTTGAAAATGCCCTTGAGCTGTTCTGGTGATGCAGAAATGGCTTTTTCCACGTCCACAAGACTGGAAACATCTCCCTGGACCACCGTCACGGCGCACCCTTTTCTTTCCAGCTCGCAAAATAGCTCTTTGTGCGCCTCAGCTCCAGGACTGCGTGATAAAAACACAAAGTGTGCTGCACCGTGCTCAGCCATCCACCGCACGAGACCACGACCCAGTCCGCCGAGACCTCCAACGAGTAGGTAGGATGCATCACTCTTGAACCTCATGGTGGAAAACCGATGCGAAGACTGCGGCAACCCCTCAGACTCACCCATGGACAACAACATTTTGCCAATATGCTCTCTAGCTTCCATGGACCTGAGACACTGCTGAACATCGCGTGCAGAAAACGTCTCTGCAATGGTCAATGGTCAAATTTGTCCCTGAGAATAGAGGTCCATGATTCGAGCGGGTAATGGTCCAGGGGCGTCGTCTGCTTCATCTCTCTTCAATTGGTTAAGGATGTTAATTGTGATGAGTGACACATTGTTCAGAAGTAACTTCGAGGGTATCCGAGTTTTGTTGCCTGTTGTTCTGACGAGGTTGATGAGCTTGCCCTCCGGTCCAACGCATTCGCATGAAGCCGCAAAAAGGTCCCCGGACAGCGTGTTCAAGACTAAGTCTACCCCGCGCTCATTAGTTGCGTCCTTGATGCCACGGACAAACGATCCGGTACGAGAATCGAAAATTCGATTCGGAGAGATTCCGTAGGTCTTCATCAAGCTTTCTGCTTTCTTGTCACTTCCGACAGTCACGTAGATTTCGGCTCCAATCATTTGACTGATTTGGATAGCAGCGCTCCCCACCCCTCCAGATGCTGAATGAATCAACACAGTCTAAGAAGCCCATCCATCAGCATAACGTTATAATCATGGTAGGGGAGAGATAATTGTAACTAACCTGATTTTTCTTGAGCTGGCCGACATCGATCAGAGAATGAATAGCAGTAGCAAAGGCCAAGGGTATTGTGCTTGCATCCTTTAACGACAACTCGTTCAGGATTCGCGCGCAGCATTTCCTGGCCACAGTAACGGACGTGCTGAAGTATTCAGACCCAAGCACGATCACTCGGTCCCCGGGGGCGAGATCTGTGACGTGGGAGCCAACATGGCGCACAGTTCCGGCAGCGTCAACCCTCAGACCACTACCAGAGGGTGCAGCGATTTCTGCGGCATTGAGAACATCCTGTGAAGAGAAGCCATTAGTACCGAACACTGCCCCTCAGCTAGTGAAGGATTAAAAAAACATACCAGATAGCTCACACCCGCTGTATCAACATCAATTTCAACCTCATCTGGCCCGAGGGTTCGCTGTAGTGCATGCACTACCCACTTTGACGTGTCAGAGTCAAATACAAGCCTCGAATCACTCCTGATAAATGCCATACGTCCTGGGTTTTCAACCTCTCCCTGCATTGAGAAAGGCTGCATGCGCCCTACCAGAACCGAGTTCTCGTGGATTACATATTCCATCTCGCGCAGATATGTCTCGGTCTCAACACGTTTCCTAAACTGCTCGAACACATCAAGCGTTAGAGCCACCGCAGTATAATTTACAGTGTCCAACTCGCACGTAGTGAGATCGACGCCAAACTCTGTGCGAGACGTCCTAGCCACGCCGATTGACAGCGAATAACGCGGGTCTTTGCACCCCACCTGGCTGCTTCGAGTCACCCAAAGCGCCCCTGAGTGTGATCGCTGCAGCTCGCGCAAGAAGTCTTGGAATTTAGATAGGTTGGAAGCAGAGATATCGTGGAAGAACGGTAGAGCAGTATCCACTAGGACAATGACATCTGATGAGGGAGCCAACGACTCTCCAAGGCTCTGAAGCGTCACCTCGTGCCCACGAGACCGCAGCTGCTTTTGGAAGACTATAGCGGTTTCTGAGGACCCTGAATCGGATACAAGGACTGTGGATTTGAGTGTCCTATGAGGCGAGGCTCTGTTCTTCGGCTGAATGCCATTGATGTTTTGGCTGACGTGACCTTTCTGCAACTCATCCCATGCTAGTGCATCAGCAGAGCTAGTATTGGGACTGGTGAGCATGTATGCCATGCCCTGAAGTGGGGGAGCCACATCAAAAGCGAGGCCGTCCAGGCCGTTGAAACCCGCGGCCCGCATCTCCACGTCCCACCTCTCGGGATTGATGTACGGCTCGTCCGCCCGGTTATCATCTTCACCAGCCCACCACCCGGACAGGACGCCGGTAATGATGTTGGAGTACTTGACGTCTCCGCAAAGCTCTTCCACAAGCAGCTTTCCGTAAGGGTGAAGAAGCCGTCGCACATTGACCAGTGTTTCGCGGAGACTCGGAGTGGCGTGTAACACGTTGGATGCAACGATGAGATCGAAAGATTCCGGAAGGAATCCCTGGCTCAATGGATCCTTTGTGATATCCAGTGTCTTGAAGATTAGGTTAGGGTACATCTCGAACCGCGACCGGGCGGCCGGAAAGAAAGCGGCCGAGATATCAGTAAAGGTGTATGTAGAATACTGAGTCACTCCAAGAATCTTGGCCGTTGTACCGCCCGTTCCTGCTCCAATCTCTAGGATCCGTTGACTTGGATGGTGGTGGCCGAGCGTCCTGAACAGTGGAGTCCGATTGACCATGTTCAAGTAGTCATACATTTCCAATAGTGTATCGTCGCTTAGAAGCAGCTCTACTGGGTCGACTTCGCCCTTGCACAACGAAACAATGTTGTCCACGACTCTGCCCATGGCCGTAGCGTAGGCCCCAATCGAGGTTTTCGATGCCTGCTGAGCAATTTCCTTCAACACTAGACCAGAAGACCTGGCATAATCATGTGCTCGCAGCCAATCGTGGTATTTTGTAAGGTGCGAAACACTCTTTGTCACCCCATGCTTCTCCAGCTGCGACAAGCTGTCTTCAATGCATGCTTTGGTCAGGCGACTTAGCATCATGGCATTCTCTGTCCAACCCGGTGGCGAGGAAACCAAGCTGCTCAACGGAACAAAGTCAATTCCCTGTCCCCAGTGAAGTGTCGCACTGCTCCCGCTATTGGTATCCACTGTGGTTACCCCCAATGGCTACCCCCAATGGCTGAATCAGTGTATCCTCCAGAGTCATCACCATCGTGCCATCTGCTGCATATGCTTCGGCACTTGCGCCTAAAGCGCCTCGCCTGAGCGAATGCGCTGATACATTGCAGGTCATGTTGGACACGCAGTCGAGGATATTGATCTTCCCGAACCGGGTCGGCAAAGGAAGTTGGCCAATCTTCCACTCAAGTCCCTGGTACGATGCCGCATAGACCCCCTGAAAACAAGCATCCATTTTTGTGGGATGAATCGGATAGTACACAGTCTCCTTGACGGTAGAGACTACCGTGGCCGACGAGTACAGACGTGAAGACGACGACCGAAGCGAGCGGACTCCCTGGAAGCTAGCTCCGTAGTCGACCCCAGTCTTGGCTAAGATCTGATACCATTTGGCGGGATCAGTGGAACGAGTAAGATCAGATGAGAAGTTATCTTCCAGAGGCTTCGAGAAGGAGGTTCCGCGTCGGATCCGGCCTGAGCAATGCTCAACCCAGGATACGCCATTGTGAGAGCTGATAGTGAAATCGTACCAACTGCCGCATCGCCAAAGCGAAGTCATTATCTCAATCGTGTTGTATCGGTCCAGCACCATGGCATGACTGAGTTGCAGGTTTTGGATCTGATATCCCGCATCGCCTGCGCCAACCTGCCGCACCGCTTCAATTGTCATTGCAATGTAGCCTGCCGCAGGAAACACTGCATTTCCAGCCACTTTGTGCTCGAAGAGCCAAGGGACATGTTTGAAGAAGAGGACGTTGCGCCAAGATGGTTGATCATCCGTACTGAACACATTCCTAGCCCCCAGTAGCTCATGTCGAGGGAATGGCGACTTTTTCCACTCTTTGATGCTTCGTGGCGCATACACATTTGACATGGAGTGGTCCCATGAGTACATCGGCGCATCCGCCAGGACCTGCGCTGTGCCGTCCGGGTCGGTGAGCACATCCATATGCAATGCCTGATCTTGTGCAAACAGCTGACCCACAAGGCCTAGGAAAGATTCAGAACAGGGCTTCTATCTCACAAGACATGATCCATAGCCATGAGTAACGGACTTGTGATCGAATATCTGATGAAGAGGCCCCGAGAGGGCCGAGTGAGGACCTACTTCGAGAAAGAAGAGGGGCTGCTTGAATCTCTCCAGAATTGCCCCAACTGCTTGGTTGAACTGCACCGGACATTCCAGATTTCTCTGCCAGTACTCAGCGTTCAGAGTAATGTGTTCAAGCCCTCCGGCCACCGAAGAGGCAAATGGAATCGATGAGTCGGTGCCGCTCCCTAGGTAGCGGTCCAACAAGGACTTGTACCTGCCGCCAACCTATGTCATGTACGAAGAGTGGTATACAGTGTCGACCTTGAGCTGGCGTGCTAGCGCAGTCGAACCGGTTTTGATGGCACTGGTCACTTCATTGACGGAGTCGAGATTTCCTGAGATAGTCACACTTGACGGTGAATTCTCACAAGCAACAACAACGCCAGGTACAAGGAATGGCTCGATCTCCGCCTTTCCCATACCAACGGCAGCCATTGCCCCGACCCGCACAACTTCTGCTGAGACCAAACCTCGATAAAAGCACAATTAATGGCCTCGCGCGCCGTCAGTCTTCCAGATGCATACGCTGCCGCCAGCTCTCCGGAGGAATGGCCCACCGCAGAAGGCTTTACATTAACCTCGGCCAGTGCGTCCACCAGTGCAACCTGCACAGCTGTGCAAACTGGCTGCGCGTACTGCGCTTTGTGGATGTTGCTACATTCCCCATTGTGGATCTCTTCTATTAGACACCATTTCGGGGCCTCTGGAAGTTCTGCAAGAACACGCTCACTGAGAAGCAGTGACTCCTTGAACCTGGCGTTCGTCTCGTATAGGCGAGCGCCCATCCCGGGCCACTGAACCCCTTGACCGGTGAACACCATGACGATGTCTGGTCGCCGTTCCGGCACGCGAGAAGAGGAAAACGTTTCCATCTCTCCATTCTTGACTATAGAGTACGTACGGAATGGCAGATGAACCCTCCGGGCTGCCAACGTGTAGGCGAGGTCAGAGACCGCCTGGGGCTTTTTTTGTAGGTAAGCGTGGTTCTTCTCCACAACCTTGACGAGAGACTCGGAGGTGTTTGCAGAAAACAACAGTAACGAAGGCCCACAGCTGCCCGAACTAGGAGATTGAGCATGAGTAATGTTCTTCGCCGATTCAACGACGGTGTGAGCATTTACGCCTCCCATGCCGAAAGAGTTGATGCCCACTCGGACGGGACGGTCTAGGGGCCAGGGAATGGGTTCTGTAGGCACCGTCAAGCCCCCTTCTTTGAACGGAATCTTTGGATTGGGTGTCTCGAAACGGATATTGGGCGGGATGATGCCCTTCTCAACAGCCAAGATGGCCTTGATGAACGATGTCAGACCCGAAGCACCTTCCGAATGCCCCGTGTTAGGCTTGACCGAGCCAATGAAGATCTGCTTCTTCTCGTTGTAGAGGCGAGCAATTGTCGACGCCTCGATCGGGTCACCCACTTTGATTCCCGTGCCGTGGCATTCAACAAAGGGTGTCTGAGAGCAGTCGGCGATGCCGGCCATTCAATACGCTTGCCTTATCAATGCTTCCTGCGTCAAAGTGCTGGGGACACTAAAACCTGCCGTCTTGCCGTCATCGTTGACTGCGCTGCTGCGAATGATGCCGCGAATGGGGTTCCGGTCACGCAGCGCTGCAGCCAACAGCTTCAGGTACACTGCATTAATGGCTTCTCCGCGTCCATAGCCATCCGCGGCCGCGTCAAAAGACTTGCACGAGCCGTCCTTGGACAACATGCCTCGTGTTGACAGGATAACGTTCATTGTTGGTGTGAGTATGAACTGGCAGCCAGCCACAATGGCCGCGTCGCACTCTCCCATCGACATGGCGGTACACGCCTGCGTCAAGGCAACCAGTGCTGAAGAACACGCTGTCCTGGTACTTATGCTCGGTCCGCGTAAGTCATACTCAAACGAGATCCGGCTGGGAACACTAAAGTCCTCTCCAATAGCTACTGGGTACTTGCCGTACATTTGGATATCGTGGAAGAGAGTCTCCCTCCAATCGTCGCTGAACGACCCAACGTAGCATCCGATGTTTGCACCACGGTAGTTTGCTTCTCCCGCACTCTCGAAGCACTCGTGTACAACTTCCAGAAGGTGACGCTGATGTGGATTAATGTATTCCAGCTCAGCCTTGGTAAAACTGAAGAAAGACGTATCCAGTTCCCCTGGGTGAGCATCGATGAAGTACCCATGCTCAGTGGGAATTAACCCATCACCGCCGAATGGTGAGCAGTGAGTTGCAATATCATATCGCGAAGGAGGCATCCGCGATCGAGCGTCCCCTCTATTCAACGCAAGATGCTCATGTGCGGGGTACGATTAGTGCTGGAGAAACATGTGGTGGTGAGGAAAGGATTGTATCCGTAGGAATCGTATTGGTGACACTTGGTCTCGGCCAAGAGGAATCAGACACCAACCACAATCCCATCAATCATAGGCAGTTCCTATTATGGCTATCGAACATTGCTAGCAAAACTGTCGGGCTCTATGGCCTAACACGGCTATCTAAATGGGACCATTTATGCACGTCTGGCGACATCAAAGCATCCCTGTTACATGTTGGGAGACACTAACGTGCCGTGCCATGGTATGCCTCTTACTCGAATCACCATGATGTACCATGCATGGAATTTATATTCCATGTTCAAACCGAGCCCATATTTACTTAACCTGAAAGGGTAGTCAGTACATTTTCAACTCTGTCGTATTTCTCGCTTTCGGGGTATCTTTGGAGGAGCTCGCCTGACCCCACTACCATGATCACAAGGAGATAAGAAGAGCTTTGGCAATGAAGTGGTGTGCGAGCTGGCCACTCGATATAAAGGCGAAAGGCTGATAAGAAACCGACCCAATCGCTTCGCGAAGCGTTGCAGGCACTCAGTCCGTGTGACCACAAAAGTGCATCACTATGTGGCAAAGCTCACAGAACAAGAAGAAATTACATCTTCACTGGGTTAATCACGCCCTAAGCGCCACACATTTACTCAGCTCTCCTCTTCGCATTTCTTCGTTAGAGTTTATATACTCCTCGCAGGTGTTTCCCAAAACCAAGCTTGTTGGCGAGCTTTCTCTTCTTCAGCCCATCCATTGCAAACATAGACAATCTCGCCCTCAACAACTCCCTTATCTACCTCTTTACCATAATCGTTTTAGTTCAACTCACAAAAGCACACTTCTGTGGGCTGTTGTTATCAACACTCCGAGCGACAGTTATGGTAGCCGCCGATTATGACACTGCGATCCATACAGCTCACTTCGGCCATGAAAAGCTCAAAAAAGGCCTCGTTTCCCTCCTGGAGAACGTTGACAATGACCTTGAGCGCCATGCAGTGGGAACATACTCAACAACCTACGAGACAATGTACAAGATTACGCTTGGATGTGGCCTCGAGTCGCTAATTGGCACCACCTCGATCGATAACCAAGCCTAGGATGATGCGATGGCATCCTTTCACCTCAGGATACTGAGCAGAGGGCATCGTCTCCATGGATTCGTTCCTGTTCGGATCTTCACAAAGAGCTTATGAACCGTTTCCGTCCTGAAACCATCAACGCCGCTCGTTTGGGAACTGCTTGTATCATTAACGACCATTACAGAGGTGATAGAACAGCAATTACTCATGTTAACAAGAAAGCGAGCTACCTGCGCCACCGCCATCAAGTCAAGACTGGGGTTATGTTTCACCCACAATCCAATCCGCTCAGTTTCAGCTGTTACCAGGTCGTCATACTGCCTGTCTCTTTGGGGCTCTCATCTTTTCTCCCTATACAAAAAGGGGACCAAATAGCGCACCTTTCAAATCTGTCACTCTGCGACGATTACGGAAGCTTCACGCACGCAGATTATGACGTCAGACTTCGCCTAAGTGCCCTCTCAGCTGGCGTAGCATATCAGTATCGCGGACGGTCCATAAATTTCCTGTTAGATGGATCAGCTTTACAAGTCCGCGGCAGAAGGATTAACAATCCACTTTCCATCGAAGCAGCCATGGCGTGGAGAGCAGTTAGTGGGTGTGCTACGGTATATAGCAGGTACAACTTCTAGAAGTGCGATCTTGAGGACAGCCTGATTGGTCCTATTGTCATGATGGTTACACATGACCTCTTTGACTGGAGGAGCGACGCGGCCGCTGGCAACCACGAGAACGGCATTTCAGCCGTATGTGGATTCGGAGTCGAGGCCCCGTTTCACGTTTATCTGGAGGCTGTACTGCGCAAAACGCTCCAGTCTCCTCAAGCTGGGGTATATGCTCTCGCGTCAATGACATATATGCATTTCACAGTTAGCCGTTGTGGCGCATGGGAATATCACGGCAATTTCAGATCTGCCTGCAAGGAATGCATCAATCTGCTACAGTCAGCTACACTAGGCGCTGGCCTGCAATGGACACCAAAACCCCCTCCAAGGTGCTACCCTGAAGGTGACAAGCTGTGAGATTGGGGCATACTTCGGTCTGATGAATTCGTCGACCATGGGATAATTCAAGAAGCTACGAGCTGGTTTCAATACCTGATCTCTTCTGGTCAGATATGGCTATTTGATCTATTATCGGATGAGATAGATCCAGTTGATCATGACACCGACTGGATATAGTGATATTCGCCATCTTAGGTCCGGGCACTCATTTCTCTGTTCTTTTTGTTTTATATTTAAAATAGAAATATATACCTCCTCGTTTGAGATACCCATCATCTGTCCATGTTGAATTCTTCTGGACTCGGGTCAATATCTGGCGTGATCGTATGTCTTAGAGCTATTAGAGAAATATGCTATATGCGAATTCCCATAAAGAGCCCCTCTTGGAGTGCTTGGAACTCTTGCACAACACGTTTGCCTCCTTGTGATCAAGCGTCACACACTCTTTTTAACGCTACAGCAACATGAGAATTCTCTACTGATAAAAAAATTAAATGAGAGACTTGTTTTTCTTAGACGTACTAGTTCTCCTTTTCCCGCGTTGCGTCGGTGTTCTGATTCTGCCGATACCTGTCTTTTCATTTCCTCCATTGTATGACTTGATAGGGAGTTCTCTCTTTGTCGCCGATCAACTAGAGTACTAAAATTGATCTCCGTTTTGCCTACAGACGACGCCACAGCGCCGTCCAACATATCCAAGGGATAGGCCAAATTTTGTTGCTTTGCTGGAATGATCTCAATTATCTTCTAGACGCCATCGCATAGCTTTTACATGCGCTCATAGAATGTCCGCCTATGTTTTTCGAGAACAAGTATTTAGTCTCGGGAAGAAATCTTCAAGCGTACGGATTATATGAGTTGAGAAGGAGGCGAATCTCAGCTGGCTCTACAACAATACTGAGTCTATTATCTGGGATGTATTATCCTCTTCGAAGACAGGCGCTGGTTTGCTCTAAGTATATGTCTTGACAGTTACTCGCGGCACTTAGTCCTCCACTCTCGTCGTTCCAGATTGCTTACGCGTATTGGGGCCATAGAATTATGGGACACGGGGATCTCTGCACATACGATTTGTGCAAATTCCCCCTTAAAATCTGTGTTGTGTTCCTGTAGTTGCTCAAATTGCCGAAATGGCCTCGCGCTATTGTCAGGAATGTTTCAAGCGCTCAGGTGGATCAGGTATTAATACGACTCAAGTGCACTATCAATACCAACACTCCACCTGGTTATGACAGCCTTCCCAGCGGACAGCATAATGCCTTTGAACATCGAACAATACATTCTATCCCCATTACACGCTTGAGCCGTCGCCGCAATCCATGCGTCTAGAGGGAGCGATGAGGCTGATCTGGCTTAAGAGTTGAAATGCCATATTTTACATAAAAACCACCATTTCGGCACTATGCGATTCCAGTTGCAATTGCTGCAACATTGGATCTGCTAATTCGTCTCTGTAAGCAATACTAGCGACATGCGCAAGCTAATAATCACAAAGCTGGTGGCACCGCCGCAACACGAGCACTAACTATGTTCGCCGCTGCAGTTCCAGCTCTCCGACCAAATACTGCGCCAGAAGTCAATCCACTGCCTCCAGGATAATTGCTGTAGAATAACCCTCCAAGCATCTCACCGACACAAAACAACCCACCGATCTCCCTGCCGGAGTTGGAAATGACTGCAGTACTCTCAGGGTTTACGGCCAGTCCGCCAAACGTAAAGGTGACTCCACAGCATACTTTGACGGCCATAAAAGGGCCTTTATCGAGTGGAAGCGCCCAGTTAGACTTTGCCAGAGCTAATTTCTTGGTTGAAGATTGTGTTGAAACCCCATCTTTGACAGCTGGATCCCAATGTTTATTTAGGTTTTCCGCTTGAGACACGTAGACTGCCTCATTGTACTCAGTGATTGTCGCAACGAACTGCTGAGGATTGCTCAGTCCCGACTTCGCAGCGAGCTTCTCTGCCAATACTTCCAAAGTAGCGCCCCATATCTTTTGAACACGTTCGTCTCTATACTCTTCGTCGCGCAACCATGGTATCGCGTGTTGGTCCCAGACTTGGAAAGCTACGCCTTCAGGCTGCTCGTGAATAGCCCGTCCGAACTTCGCGTAGGTGTAGTTACGCATGTCAACCCCTTCATCGACGAACCTTTCACCGTTGATGTTGATCATTAGGCCAAGCGGGTATCCAGACTTTGTAAACTCATTCGACACGTCGCGATCGCCACTATTTGCAGGAGCATTGGCATCCCAGCAGGTAGAATGGCAGCCAGACCAATTGCCCGCTTGCTTGGCATTGACATCGCGAATCGCGAATTCCAGCATTTCGCCTGTGTTGAAAGGCGTGCCACGGACACGTGCAACATCCCAATTAGGGCCAAGATACTGGGAGCGCATACGCGGATTCGCTTCAAAGCCTCCTGCTGCAAGAATGACGGCATTGGTCGTAACGAGTGTATCTACGCCCTCGCATTCTACCATGACTCCTGTCACGGCACCTGACGAAGAAGTGATGATGCGTTTGGCGGCCGTGGAGTAGTATACCTCCACATTGTTCCGTGCCGCACAGGCTTGATGATCCGCAATCAATCCTTTGCCACCGTCCTGTGTCATGAGCGCTAGGCCGCCCCAAAACTTCAAACGGCCATTGACCTTGTACGCCTGGCGATTGAAAGAGAGCTGGAACCTGATTCCGTTTTTCGCAAGCCACTTGACAGCTTCGTTGGATTCGTCGATCAGTGCCTGGCTCAGCGCGGTATCCGAGCGGCCTGAGCATATACGATGCATGTCGTTGCTGAAATCATCCTTGGTATACGGCTTCATGTCGATGAGTTCTACTATCTCGGCGT